GTGCCAGGGGGCATCAGGGCTGTGCCTGTGCCAGCCCCACACTGCCACGCGTGTGCCACGCTCCTGCCTGGCTGTGCACAGGCTTTTGGAAGGTTCTCCTGTTTGCAAACTGCTGCTTTTGTTGGATTTTCTCCATTTATTGCCGTGGAAACTGTAATTAAGCTGCAGGTGGCCCCTGGCAGCGTGGCCTGCCCCCTGGCCTGGCCCGGGGCTGGGTGGTGACCGGGTGAGTGTCCCTGAGTGTCCCAGGGACGTTCCCGTCCTGCCGGCACTGCCTGATGCTGCCGGTCTCGCCTGGCTGATCTGTCTGTCCGGGTGTCTGTTTATCCAACTCCCTCCTCTCCATCCATCTGGCTCCCCATATGGGAAACAAGCAGCAAATTGGCCCAATTTCTTACCATAGGAAAAAAAAACCCAAAACCCCCCTGAAAAGTGCCGGCCCGCAGGTTCAGGCTGGGGATGCTGTGCCCCCATCCCCACAGCCCCCCTTGCTGCCTGCTCAGCACCCAGCAGATCCCCCTTCTCTCCTTTTCTGGCTGCAAGGGGCCAAATTTTCAGTTTTCCTGCAGCCCCACGTAGGGACCAAACCCTCCCAGAGCCTGTCCCCATCCAGTCCTGCCCTGCTCCTCTCCAGGGCTGTGCACTGGGAATCTCTCCCTGCCCTGAGTGCTAATTATGCCGACCTTTGCTTAATCTGGGATCTGTTAGTGGCAGGAGGCATCAGCCGTGTCATTTACTATGCAAATTAAGACCATCAATTACATCCAGAAGGTCCCACAATGTTTAATTTTCACTCTCATCTCTCTTTATTGGCATCTGCAGAAATGCAGGAGCAGGAGGGCTCTGGCTTTCCGGAGCTGGGAGCCCAGCAGCCATGTGTGTGGGCTCTTCCAATTGCCAACTTCCCCTTATCTCTTTTAATTTTAATTACCTGCTTTTGCAATGGCCCCTTGAAAAGCTGGGCTGAAGCTCAGCCGGTGCACAGGGATGGGAATAAAACCCTCTGCA